TGTCATAAAAACTTGTTTTTCCTCTCCACTGTCGCTACAAGCATGCTTGGTGTGAGGAATTGCCTTCGAGTCAATGAGTCGATGCAATCAACTGGTTTTCCTTAGATAGAAAACTTTGAATCAATCTGACTGTATGATCTGGTGAACTGTAAAGTGCCTTGAGATGAGTTGTGAATTGGCACTAGAGAAATAATTGAATTGAATTGAACAGAAAAAGCAGTAATGGAAACGTTTGAAAGTTGTTTGAAAAAGGATAATAAGAGTTTTACTTTCAGGTCAGCACTGAAGAGTACTACTTTGGAAAACCAGTCACACCCAGGCTGTCAACATGATGAACATTTAACAGAGAGCAAAGATCAATACATTTCACTTTTATAGAAAAAAATAATATATAGTCATATTTATAGGAAATATGTCTATCGTCTTTTTTGAATATTATACTTAAATGTCTCCATTGAGAGCAAAGTGTAATCAAAGTGTAACCTGCATATTCTTCTCTTCCCCTTAAATCTTAGTCAATATTTAAGCTTTTTGCATAAACTGACATTTATAGGGCAAGTTACCGTTTTTGATCACTTGCATACCCCTAACAAATGGAGTCCCACTCCCCCCTCGTCCCTCAGTGAGGTCTAGAAGCACAAGATCTATATCCAGCCATTCAGCTACATGGCTGCACATCTTATTTTGGCATTTGACCAATTAGATGTACCCTTGAATGATGTATTACCTATTGTAAATTAAGTTAAAAAAAAGTTAACAAGTCAAGAAAAAAAAGTAAAAAACTAATTGAAAAGTTAACAATTATATTATTTAGGTTTATAATCTAAAAATGTAAGTGCCTGTATCAGCATTAATGCCTCTAAGGTTATGTTGTACCAAAAAAAATTTGTTTCTTTCACTCTCAGAGTGTTTTTCTTGAATTTCTTATAGAAGAACTTTTGTTACTTTTCTGCATATATTCAGGTAAGTTGGTATCTTGTTTATTACATTGATACTAATTTTGCCATCAAAATATCCATATTTTTGAGTGTTACAAAGGTAATAAGGTCTTGTCCTGGATTCCAATAAAACTATTGGCTTGAAATTGTGATTTTTTAAGTATTTTACTGAGTGCCCTATTAAGGGTTAAAGATGATGAACTCACCAGATCCGCCACTTTGCACAGCCCATCAGAGAGCTGGTCAAAACACTGAACTGTCTCCAGACCTGGGGGGCTGCAGCAGACTCTGTGCAGCAGGAGCTCAGTGTTTCTCAGGGCTGTTTGTGTAGCTACCTGGAAGCCAGCAGGACAGCTGAGCTCTGGCACTCCAAACAAACCCTGCAAACACAGAACAACTGGAATTAGGGCATTACTGTCACGAATACAAGATATATATATATATATATATATATATATATATATATCACAAATACATAAAATAGAAGATATTTAATACAAACCACGTTTTTCTCAAACAGCTCCAGCCTCTTGAGAGGTTTGACATTAAAAGCAGCTCCAACGGGCGACCAGGTGGTAACCTTTCTCCGCACATTGGTCCACAGACACCTGAACTTCACCAAGTGAAGCAGCTTATGTGTAGCAGACATTTTTTTGTTTGTTCTCCTGAAGAACAGAAAGCTCTACTTCAGAGTTAACTGATAGTGATAGAAAGTGACAGCGGACATGCTACACTCTAAGCGTTTATGTTAGCATGTCTGCCAAAACCAAACATAAAAGAATACCTCTTTTAAAAGCGCAGATAAATTAAAAATCGTAACTTCAGGAGGGATAAATTGTATTCATTTATACTGTTGCATATGAAGAGGAGGTGTCCGACTGGAAGGCAAACTGTTGGCATGTTAGCTCACTAGCTAACGCGGATCTAACCTTTTGTTCAACGTCGTACTTTCGTAGAAAATATATGTATAAAAAAAAAAAAAAAAGTCGTTGGAGAATAACAAACACCTCGGATTACATCTTGTTATTCATCATGTCTTTTTTTATTTTACTCATGTTTCCACGTTTTAAATAGGAACAGAATTTTTATTTTATATCCTTCATGACGAAAGTGCCAAAAATAAGTCATCTGTCAAACAGAAGCCTCAAAATAATGCTTTACATCAGAGCTTATGGTTGAAGGGAAAGAATGTCTCGTATGTAGTTAAAAATATAAAGAGAGCAGTTAATAAAATAGAAAAATGGTCATATGAATGGGGATTTAAACAACTGTCAGTAATAAATCCTGTTATATGATTTTCAGTAATAAAATAAATATTGATATAGGAGAAATAAAACTATATGATCAATCTATTAAAAGATAGAATTCAAATATTTAGGATTATGGTTAGATAGTTCATATACATGGAAAATGCACATTAAGCAGTTAAAAACAAAAGGTAAGAAAGAAATAAACCTCATGAAAGCTGTGGCTGGGAATGATTGGGGGGCTGATAAGCAGTCACTATTGAATATCTACAGGGCAGATCAGCAATAGATTATGGATGTATGGTATATAGAGCCGCAGCAAAATCATTGTTACAAATAGCAGATAAATTGCAATATAGGACATTACGTATAGCTACTGGAGCAACTAAAACTACGCCCATTAATGCTCTTTTAATATAGGCTGGAGAAACTCCTTTAGGAATGAGAATGAGAATATGGATCAGATTCCATTTGGGAAAGAGGAAGGTAAATCAATAATTAAAAAGAAAGAAACAGAATTATGGCAAAAAATATGGGATGAAAATGAGAATGGAAGAAGATTACATAGGGTTCAAAAATCTGTAATTGTTAAAAAATTATGGAGAAAGAAACAGAAGGGAAGAGATAATTTATTCTAGATTAAGAACTGGACATATCTACTTGAATTTGTTTCATTTGTTTTTACTAGGGAAGATAAATAATGATTTATGTGAGGGTTGTTAAAGAAAATGTGGATCATGATTTGATGGATCGCATTACATATGTAGCTGAAAGAGAGAGGATGAGGAAGATAACTATGGAAAGAAGGGAGGGAATGGAGTATTAAAGGCATTTTAGTGACAGATGGAGGAGGAAAACTTGGTTATTAATAAAGCATTAATTTTATTTTTACATAACACACACATAAAAAAAATAGAATATAGTAGGTGGAACTATAGAGCTACACACTAATGGACAGTAGGTGGCGGTATGCACCTATAAGCTGTTTGCAATCCGCCAATCTAACAAAGAAGAAGAAGCAGTAGAAGACTTTTTTTTTTTTTTTTACATTAAAAGCACTTTATTTACACAATTCAAACAAACAATTGACGTAAAACAAGTGTCAGTTAAAAATCACTACTAAAGTGAAAACAAGTGTCAGTTTAAATCATTAAATGAGGAGCTTGTTAAAATGCAGAAGGACCTTCAAAATAAAACGTGTCATAAAATAGACATGCAAAGAACTGTTTATGATTTTATGGATAAGATTGTTGCCTTGTAAAACTCACAAACCGTGCATTTTTGTGGAATTTTAATAGTACTTTTAAAAAGATGCATATTAAGCTATGAAGGTTATTTTGTTTCTAAACAATTTGTGCATTGTAAGTGTAAATTTGAAGGGAGAGTTACATTCTAAGTTTTGTATGTGTACAATTAATTAGAAATTTTTTCACACCTGTTCAAATTTTAAGTACACAAATACTCAAAAACCTCTTAAATTCTGTTTTGCTTAAAATGGTTCAGAACTATTGTTGCAAAAATAATTTGTGCATTATAACTTTGGTGTTTTGTAACTATTTTTTTTTTCTTTAATCTGACACAATTACAAAAAAAATTACACCTCTTCAAATTCTTTAGTACAAGTACACAAATTGTGTTTTGTGAGTTGCACATCAAAACTGTCTTCCATTTAGTCCCTACCTGAGTTTGGTCATGAGAGGGGGCTACAAACCCCCCAGTGAACATCCCATGGATTTTTATTTTAAATAACAGGTTTCTGGCACTTAAAGCCCTGGGATCTAATAGTGGTCTTTGGCTACACCTTTTCTGCTCCTTTCAGCAGAGCAACCATGCTGTACTGTCTGCATTTCCACAAAACAAGGGATGTAAAAATGTAGATTCTGTGGCTGCTTAAAAAGTGCACTGAATTTGTAATAAAATGTATTTTGTGTTGAATAAAATATAAGTGTGTTACCATTGTGGGAAAATCAATGCATTAGCTCACAATATCAATTGAATGTATTAGGTTACGATGACGAATCACAAATATATAATCACTTTCAAATGTATAATTCCAAAGGAAAATTGCTGATCTTAATTATGTTCAAACATTTTTACCCTAATTGGCCATTAGTAAAGACAAAGCTTTTACCCTTGGTCCCAGCAAAGCTGTTTTAATACCATTTTATATCATAATTTTGCTTCCTCAAATTCATAATATGAAACTATCAATCTAGTAGATAATAGGATAGAATCTGAATTTAATCACACATACCCTATGAACATATTCCAGCTATGTAAAGTTGCTTATATCTGGTGGTTTTATTTATGTAGAAGGAATAATTACAGAATACACCTTGAAGTGATGTCTTTATTCATGGGAGGAATAATTCATCCATTGCACTCCACGACCACATTTCATCAACAGTTTTACTGTGAAATCTATTTATTAAAGGTGTACGAAAAACATCGGGCGAAAGGTCTTCAAGCGACTGTATTTGGAAACGTCCTCAAAAACAAAAGGGAAAACATGGCTGACAAAGTATTTAGGTCAACTCTGCAAAACGAATTTAATACTGAAAGTGGGTAACACAGAACAATGATAAAAGATCTTCCCAATATGAGAAATTGCAGCATCTTGCTTTTAAGTACATTTGGTTGTTTGTACTTGGCAACAAAAAACAAACAAAAAAAAGTACCAAGTTGTGACACGTGGTGAGGAAATGCAGTTATATGTAAAAGAAAAGAAACAAAGCGAGTCAGATTTAAATAAACGCTTTGCTAGCAACTAATTATTAAATCTCAATCACGTATTTACATCTATTCACTAGAATACAAAATGAAACAAACAAAAAAAATGCTTGGGGAAAGAGAATACGTTTCAATTCATTTGGCTCACCTCACATTACAGTCAAGCTTTAAGTGTCGATATACAAAGGAGTGCTGAAGTCAAAAAAACCTAGGCATGGATTTGTTGGATCCAGTTGATTTGCTCAGACATCTGCCCACCTGGAATCATGTATCATCCTTACCTAAGCTTAAAAAACAAAAACAAAAAAACTGCATCTCTTCAGACTACAGTAAACTTAGTTGACCCCTGAGTTTCTAATGCAAAACTAGTGTATGAAATACCTCATTACAGTGTTTCTTAGTGCAAGCCAGCAATATGCTCGATTAAACAGAGGTATATTAGATAGCACCCAAGCTGACAAGATTCCCCAGAAACAGTTATTCTGCCACATCACAACAACATCCACAGGAGGTGATGGTTTTTTCCCCGTGTCCTTGTGAAAACCACCAGTTCCAATGCTTGAATTTGTATTCAATTTGTATTGTATCTATAAACATGTTTTTCATAGAAAATATAAATAATATCCCTGAATGAAACAGATTCACAGCATTTTATTCTTGAGGACTCCAGTGCTACTACCATAACTTGGCCATCGGGTGTCCCCCTCCCCCCCCCAACCTGTCCAGTAAAGGTCCATCGTCTCTGTAAAGCCCAGCAGCTTCAGCCGCTCTTTCATTCGCTGTCTCGGTAGCTGACCGTCCGCTTGCCTCGGTTCCGGGTGTTGACGCGTCTCGTCGTCTGTGGTTTGCTGTACGACTCGTCGCTGTCCTCCTCGGAGGCTGGTTGGTGGCGGCGCTGCCTGAGCTGGCGGCTCGCGGTCCGCGTGCGAGCTCTCCTCTTTGGACTGCTGTGGGACCCTGAGCTGGAAAAGGAGTTTTCAGAGGCTGAAGACATCTGCTCGCTGTCTGAGTCTGAAGTGTGTTTGCTGCTGCTGTAGCTTTCCTTCCTTTTAGGCTTCGCCTGCCTCAGGTTCCTCCCCCCCTTGTTTGAACGAGCATCCTCTTCCTCGTCCTCTTCGGATGAAGAGCCGCTCTCTCTGCTATCATGCGACTCCTGTTTGGATTCCCTTTTAAAGCTCTTAGAGGAGCCAGACCTGCCGTTACTATTGCTTTTGCTTTGAGGTTCCTTATGTCCATCTTCCTCCTCGTCTTCAGAGTCTGACGTGTAAATCCGTTTCCTCTTGGTGGAAACCTGATTCCTTCCTTCACTAGGAGATGCTCTCTCAGATTTCCTTGTATTATACCTCTCTTCCCTTGACTCGGAGTCTTTTTTGTTTCCATTTCTTTGCCTACGCTGCGTTACTCCAGTCAAATCTTCCTCAGAAGGAGAGTTATCAACAACGTATTTCTTTTTCGGTAGAGCTCGAAGGCGAAGTCTTCTGTTCGGCACATCATCAGAGCCGTCCCACTCTTCCTCCGACGGTCCAGGGGAGCCTTTCCTCCTCGACTTCCTCTGGGGTTTGTATTCCAGCTCAGAACTCTCTGAAGCAGACTTGGAGCGAGGCCTTTTGCTTTTCATTGATCTCCTGGTTTCAAGCTCCGACCCATCGCTGGAGGGACTTCTTTCCCTCTCTACCTTCTTCATCCCTTTCTTCTGTTGGCTGGATCGTTTTGGAAGATCGTCGAGTTCGTCCGATTCGGCACTATCCCGTAGTGTCGTTGAGGCAGATTTGTGTTTATCTTGGCTTTTTGATGCTGACACTTGACTTTTTTTCTTAGAGTCCCTGTGGATAGATTCTTTCTCATTCTTTCCGTTTTGCTGTGGCCGTTTCTGGACACCGTCTTCTTCGTCTGAACTTACAGGAGCTTTTCTTCGTGTGATTTGCCGCTGACTGCCCTCCTCC